AAAATATAGCCAGCACTTACTAAGTCTGAAAAGATTTTATACTGTCCTGTTGGCTGACCAACTTCACAGTGCTATCTTGAATATCCAAATACAATAATGGAATATTTTATAACTAGAATCTTGACAAATTCTTTTAATAAATGAAGCAGGTTGAGAATGTTCAAATATAGGACAGCCAACAAAATTATCTAAGCAATGTTTAACATTTTAATATTCACACAATACCCGTGCTTTGTCATTGTGGCATAGTGGAAAGTAATTACCATGTTTTCTTAGAATGTCAATGTTAAGTTGACATAAGGCCTGTCTTCTTAACACTACTCGTGTATTTACCATTTGTTCAGCAACTATCCAAACTTTGTTAAATGGAAACCCAAGAATCTGCGATGATGCAAACAAAAGACTGTTTGAGCCGTTCATACCTATATCCGAGAAAGCAGGAGATTGTCTTCAGCATATTCACATTAACTCACATCAACTGTATGGTTCTTATCAAAATTGTCGAATTATTCGAATGATCCACATTTTCGTTATTTCTTCTTTCTAAATTTCTGAAAGTTTCTCCCTCATTTTCATTCTTTCTGCTTTAATTTATGTCAATTCTATTAAATGATGTCTTGTATTATAAATTCTTGTTTAATTGCCTATCAATTTGTTTTAGATTATTACTTAATGTAAGAAACAATTTTGACTTTAATTATTTAAAATATGGATGTAAAATCAGATATATTTCAAGAAAGTCACGTATACTGTCACACATTATTTTATGCATTGTAGAATACCTTTATAAGTTTAGCTTTCGGACCAAATCCTTTTCAACAATTCGTGTCTGTATTGTGTACATTAATACTTTGTATTATTTGTATATACCGTAAAGTTGTTTGAAATAAATAATGTTTAAAGTAACTATTCCTTTTGTTTCAGACTGATAAAAGTCAGATAAGGCGTTCTTAAAATTTATGGTTAAATATTCGATAAGGGAGCTTTTTTCTCACAAAAACATCTATTTAAACAATGTACACTTCTTGTATTTATCTACTGAATTATAACAACTGTCCTTCTACCTTTTAAGGTTTATATTATAATACACCACCGGGAAGCTACTACTACTCCTACTTTCATTGACTCAGTAGCTGTCATTCTTATAACCTCATCTGCGGCGACTTTTTTTTATTTCATTTATTCTCTGTTGACCAAAAACCCTTTCCCCAGAAGCCAAATCGTGAGCTACTTTTTCTATAGCCTCTGGTACCCATACTGGAATTTCATCATTTAGTGTTGAGAGAAACGGGAAGGCAGCCTCTTGTGCATAGAAGACAACAGTTGAACAGTTGTTTGTCACGAAGTGGTAATCTGCCACCACCGAACGATGGCATTTTGCTGTTCTTTTGATACGTTGATCTTGTAAGTATGAGGCTGTCTATTGCCTTTTGCATAAATGTCGCATTCAACTGAATTAATCTGCAAAGCTTTAACCCGAGGATTGGCAGCACCACAAGGCTTTTCAGGCCACCAACTGATGTAGGTACCATCACTTAATTGCAAGGAGCTATGGCCGACAACACCTCCAGATGGGCGCCAAATATATACAACAATTTCTGTAAAAAGGAATTTAATCATCAATATTGGACTCGATAATTTTATTAATTTATTAACTAAAAAGTGTATTTTTGTTTCAATTAAGGACACAAAAAAAAAACTTCACCAAACACCAAGATGTCGCTTCTTTTCCGATGCTAGTTTCTTAATTTCTAAATTATTTTTAGATTTAGATTTAAAGAAGTATGCTTCTAGATGATGCTAATTTTTCATGACAATTTTATAAATGTTTTTAAAAAGTATTATATGTATTGTAAGTGAAAAATGAAAGTAATTTACACATTGCAAACGACACTTATAATCTACGTAAAATTACCAGAAACAGGTATGCAAAAATATTACTTGAATATTTTACTTTCCTTAAATTATTTGTACATTATTCTCAAATTTGATTTTCTTATCTCATCTGCAAGGAATTCTGCTTAAAGTATAATTGTCTGTGTTGCTTATTAAAACATGAAAGTGAGAAATCAAAATGTCTGGTTAATCATCTATGTTAAATAAAATGTTTATCCTGAAAGGTCAGTTTTACCTCAGAAATGCTTTAATTTTTATTTAGTTTTAATTCTCAATTTTTTTTCTTTAAATTTTGGTAAATTGTATGTTGTTGCAGTTTTTTTTTCTTCAGTAGTTAAACATCTTACATGTCCTATATTTATAATCAAAACATTTTTAAATGCAATAGTCATGTTTGACATGTCTAAAGAATTAAAAAATATTGATGTCTGAGACATAATATACTTTAAAGAATTTGTTTAAAGACAGTACATCACGTGCAAATATGTATAAAAATCTTTACCAGTCATTTTTGTTATTCAGTCTATAAAAGTCTTATTTTGGAAATGTTCTTTCAATAATCCCAACTTTAGTTCTAAATTATCTGCTTTTTATATTTCAATGAATTAAATTTTACTTCCTTTCTTCGAACAAAAAAAATAAAGTTTTAATCTAACATATCTTACACAATGAGTTTTATCAATTTACTTATTAAAACTTGATCTATTGTTAACTAAGTAAAACTTTTTTAAAACTTCTACTTCAGTGAATAGACGTTTAATCAACAATATCTTTATTCAACACTAAAAAGCGCTGTATTTGCTAGATTTACAAAATTAGAAAGTTCCATAAAAATATAACAAAATGTTCTTGTCACTAGTTTGCGCGAGTAGTCAAAATCTAAACTGAAAACATCCTATCATGGCTACCTTTATAGATTCTGAAATAGCCAGTAATTTCAAAATCAACCAATCATAACATTCCATGTGTCCTGGAGGACTGACAGGAATTTTATTAAAATGGCAGCCATCTTAACATTAATCTTGACATTTTAACTTAATGTACTAAAATTCTGGACCAAAAAATCACGGTTCTAGTTTAAAAATAAATGAACTATTGATATAAAAAGATTTCAAGTGCCAATAACTTGAGTTTTCCCTCCTGAAAACTTAGAAGTCATACTGGCTATAAAAATTATTGTGAAAAACAGCAATGCCAGCTAAATATTTGGAAAATAACTTACATCTGAGGTAAATAGGGATTATATTCATTGTTGTTACATGTAAAATGATAATTTTTGTATATGTTCGAGATGGTAAACTCTTATCGGTCATTTTGATGCAAAGATGAACAAAAGTAGAAAATTTAAAATTTCTTGAAGATAAACCTCCTTGTAGTGTCCTATAATGTCCTGCAATCTCAAAATTCAAATACCCTCAATACAAATACCTTCTTTCAACCGAAAATTATCTTATCAAATGAAACCAGTAAATAATCAGCAAATATGAATGATTGAGGCAAGTTCAGGAATCCTAACAGGTAAGTGTTGAGTACTTACTGGGCACAATTGCTTTTATTTGTCAACGAGTTATCCTAGTTCGATGTTCAAATGGTCATAAACACAGACTTTGTTTTCTCAGGTTTCTTCAGTAAGGTTCATTTATCCTGCTACTGTCAGTTTTATCAGCTGGATAAACTTATCTTTCTCCAGTCATAACGTCACTATGCTAGCCTATGATGACGTCACATGGTTAGCAGCATAACATAACATTTCCATCGGATGGAAAATGAATGAAACCATTTAGATAATCTCAAACAGGCAGGATAAATCGGATATATTGTTGAGAAGCTCGCCAAGATACACTTTCTCGATAATTCTAATTATCATTTCGCAGGTACAGTTCTGAAAAAAAAACTTAGAGATAGATAATGAATTTCATTTATTGAACTACCAATGCATTTTTTATAAAAAGTTTAACGAATTTTCTTTCTGATGCCCGACTCTGTATCAATCCTATTAAAGAATTGCATATATTTCAAAGCATAATAAATCACTATAAATTACTATTAATGTCTTTCTGGAGCTTCTGGTGCTTTATTTGAACAAATCATCAATGAACGTCAAATGTAACCAATAATTTTAAGAGTCCCTTAAACTTTCTTTTCTCTTCCCGCTTGTGCTTTAACCTTTCTTGTCCAAGTTGGGAAAGTTGTCGACCTTGGTGCATTACTGACTCATTTCTTTGTGACCAGAAACAACTCATATGTATCAATTATCACAACTGCATGCTCAACCGATTTGCAGTTTTCCACAATACATTCCACAATACATTTGTACTTCAGGCCATAAACAAACTATGTTTTAAAACTAATAGTTTCATTACAAATATTTGATTATCCTTGACAGTCCCTATGCAATATTGAATAAAATGCATTAAAATTATTCGTTAAAAAAGAAAACAAATTAAGTCAACAAAGAAAACTGTTCTGAAAATCTCAGACTCCCTTTTACTGAGACACATAATGCGTGAAACAACTAGTACGCGCACCAGCACCGGTTCAGCGGTATCAAATTCTGAACACTAAAAGCACTAAAGCCAATAACCCTTAGCACCAGAGCAAATATAAGAATACAAAAAGTAAGTACGGGGCATCTTCTTATAGTTGCCACACAACGCTTAACACCTGGTTTTATTTAGGGGAGTTTTAGAAATCTACAAAGGAGAGATATCCCGCCTCCTAAACATTGCAAACTCGGTTGTATTAAGTTTGTTAACAAGAAAACGATATGCTTGGAATCGGGATCGACTGAAAAGTTCCACCGACTGATGCATTTTTTCAAGCAATTTGATGCATTTTGTTAATAAGCAGTTCACACGGTTTGTTTATCATCCATTCTTCAAGTCATTATTACAATTAAATGACATCACTACCAAGTGAATACGCTATTCTTTCTATTCTTTCTCATAATTAAACAAGGCAAAGCATCAACTTTTCATGAGTATATGTATCATATAAACTTTACATGTTTTCTCATCAATAACACATTTTATAAACTGATTCATAAAATATGTTATTGTTTAATTATTTTATCCGTCGCTTTAAGAAGATGATTAACGATATGTCTAATCGCCCGGATGTACTAACTTCCGAAGTTCAAGTACAAAATGATTTCACTTATAGTTCGTTTTTTTTTTATAAATTCAGTCGTAAGTAAACAGGGGATAAAATGTTTCTCGTTTTCTTGTTAATTTTCTTCATTGGAAATGGCATCCACCAAACAGGTAAAGCATTTAAGATTTAATTATTTGCCGTGTTGGTAGCTGTTGACAGATTTTTGCACCGTACTTTATTTAAGTGTTGTTAAATTTTTCTCCTATCGGCAAATTTTGTTTTATGTCTCTGGGCGGATCTCTTTTTGCTAGACCTTTAATGTCATTTTATATGATAATTGGTACGATAAATGCAGCTTATGCATCAAACGTACGTGTATATATTCTTCACACAGACAAGTTTATATATTTCTTCACACAGACGGACAATCGGATAATTTCTTCTCGTCTTGGAAAGAGCCCCCAATTAACTCCGGCATAGGTGAAGGCAATGCTACAGTTACACTTCGTGAAAATAGCCAAGCTGGAACAAGTACGGGGATAAAACTGCAAGTACTTGGCGGAACAGGAAAAATCAGTTACATTCTACAGCAACCTAACCCGTTGCATTTCAGTGTCGGTGGGGCAAATAAAGACGAAATAACAACCGTACAACCAATTGATTTTGAAAAGCTGGACAGAATAACAGTTACAGTAATGTACGTGTAATTTTGAGCCTTTACATCATAAAGTATATTATTTTTGCTGAAAAATATCAAAGAGGTATAACAGATGAGTTTCGAAAACTTATTCATTCTACAGTAAAGCTGTATATTTTTTGTTTGTATGTTATACTGAGTTTCACCATGTGGACGTTTTTTCAGAGCTTTCGACGAAGGTATTCCGCAGAAAACAGGAAGCGCTATCATGACGATTTTCATTGGTGACGTGAACGAACATGCCCCTACATTTCTACAGGAAGTGTACGAAGTCACAATATCCCCTTTGTCTGATATAGGTAATTACTCTGTAACCGTAAATCTCATCTCTAAAATGAAAATGACTTTTTAAACGAATGTGCGATATTTTTACCGGTATTCATTCGTACGATAAAAGATATTTCCTTTATTATGAATCTGTTTATGACAAATCCTGATTATTGATATCGAATGAAAATCCATAAATATAAAACATGACATGAAAAAAATATTTGTTCCAGCACTTTTAGAGAAGTAAAGTTTCAACAACGTGTTTGATTATAGCACTATTCGTATGTGAAATTCAATTCATAGCCATATTCTTACTGTTTCAACACTTAAAGAAAACTTTGATAACTCATTTCATATGTGAAATTCAATTCATAGCCAATTTTACTGTTTAAACACTTAAAGAAAAGATAGCTCATTTGGTATGTCTAAATCAATTCATAGCAAATATTGTATTCACTTATCGTTCTGTCTCTCTCTGTTTGCAGGTATACCATTCGCTATGGTTCATGCAGCAGATGAAGATGGTTCTCCTCCTAACAACAAGGTGGTATATTCAATTGAAGGTAATACAAACAGAAGGGAGTTCATTCAATGTTATAAAGGTAGTCTTACTGTAATGCTTTCCCGCCAAATAAAATCTCACACCGGCCAATATCGTAATAAATCGGTTATTTCCGGAAGGTTACTATTCACGATCTTCGGTATTCAACAATTTTTATTCGTTCATAACCGGCATTTAGTACATAGCGATAAAGGATGAGTGATTTTAAATAATATAATGCCCAACATTTTGAAAAAATAACCAATTTGCTACGATATTGGACGATGTTAGATTTTTCTGGCGGGGAAAGCATAACAGGAAGACTACCTTAATAACACGAGTCAAGAAACTAAACAATAATATATTGGAAACCAAACATTTAGCTTTTTTCTTAGGTTTATAATCATTATTAATATTAAATTGACATAACGTTTACGGAAAAGAAATGTCTAAAATTGATGAAAATCATGTCAAGAGAAATTAATCAATCCATTGTCCGATACGAAAGACAAGGACATTTATACTGTATTTTAAAACAATAAATATAACAATTGTTTGTAAATGATGTGCATTGAAAGATTCGTGATGTTATTTGATTGTTTAAAGCTTTGTGACACAGTCTATAAATATCTTAGTGTAACATATATGATGATTATTGCGTTTCGATATACAATTATGATCGTTCTCAAACGACAACAACAACAATAACAATATTACAATGATAATTGCAAAAATATTAAAAAACAAGAACGTGTTTGTTTAACACAAATGTCTCCGGCTCCGGTTTTTGTCAGTAGCAATATTAAAAAAAGTTACCCATTCACTCAGTTATGGACAGAAGCATTGCCAAAAATTGTAAACACAAGTTATATAGCTTGACAGAGTCATGGCATTTTGTAATTGTGAAATATATAAGTTGCCAAGTCATTGCTATGACTTGTAAAGTGATAAATATTCAACTTTATCAAATATATATAAATGTAAGAAATCTATACTTGGCACCCTTGACCTTGACCCACTGACACCTTTAGAATATCATGCAAGTTATCTTCCTACCAAATATGAAATACACCTGTCAATAAGGCTGTATGGGCAAAAATGTTAAAATCAATTTTAGCGTTGATGACCTTGACCAAACTGACCCCTAACTCAATCCAAAGGAAGAATACCATGCAAGTTATCTTCCAACCAAATATGAAATAAATCTGTCAATAAATAAAGGCTGTTTGGGCAAAAGTGTAAAAATCTATTTTAGTACTTGTGACCTTGACCCAACTGACCCCTAACTCAATCGAAAGGAAGAATACCATGCAAGTTATCTTCTTATCAAATATGAAATACACCTGTCAATAAATAAAGCCTATATGGGTAAAAGTGTAAACATATATTTGTAGCACAAGTGACCTTGACCCACTGATCCCTATCCCAATCAAAAGGATGAATACCATGCAAGTTATCTTCCTACCAAATATGAAATATTTCTGTCAATAAATAAAGGCTGTATGAGCAAAAGTGTAAACACCTATTTTTAGCACAGGTGATCTGGACCAAACTGACCACTAACTCCATCAAATTTTATGTTCCTATCAATTATACATGACATCTGTCTATAGAATATGGTTAATACACCTGTAAAAATGTCAAAATCTATTTTTAACATTGATGACCTTGACATTGGTGACATTGACCTTGACCCAAATGACCCCTTACTATACCAAAAGAAGTAGGACCACCCTTGGCATGTTTGTATTAAACATGAAAGACATCAACCAAAAAATTAAGGCTGTATGAGCAAAAATGTTTAAATTTATTTTCTAAATCAGTGACCTTGACTTTGACCCTAGAGACCACTTACTCCACAAAAAGTAGAGGACCATTACAGGTATCCACTTGCCAAATATGCAAGATATCATTAAATGAATTAAGCAATTAAGAGAAATTTACGATAAATCCAACTTGCCAGAATAGGTTTACCAGACGAGGCCCTATTTTCAAAGTGAAAAAAGGGAAATAACTGGGAAATAAAGATGACACAGTCATATAGCTTGGCAATATCATGTACTTTGTATGTGTGTAAGTGTGGAAATTATGAAGCCATTAGTATAGATAGAACTTAAGATATTTCAAACTTTCCGTTTTAGGTTAACCATTATTCATTTTCTAAGTGCTGAAAAGGGCAATAACTTGGTTAATATGGTAGTCATTGTTATGTAACATGACCAGATCATGAACTTTGTATCGATTAGTAAGAGTGTAAACTAAGAAGCCATTGGAACAGGTAGAACTCAAGAAAAATTCAACTTGCCGTTCTAGGTTAACCTCGTACGGTAGACGGACAAACGGACAGACGGACGGACGGTTCAATTACTATATGCCCGAGGAATAAAAAGGAAAATCAAAAACAAACAAATAATAAATATTAAACAAAGTTAAGCATTTCTTGAAGTATAAAATAATCCTTCAATTATGTTTTTGGTAGGCGGAAACACAAACGGTGCGTTTATGGTTGACTCAATAACTGGTAACATTGCAATGGCGAAGCAACTTGATGGATACGATATCATGCCGCAGTATGAACTAATCATTCTTGGCGTTGACGGAGGTACCGACCCTTCTCCGTTGACAGGAACAACCACAATGCTTGTAAAAATCATCGATGGTAAGATTATTAATATAATTATAGACCCTGTTAGCATTTTTTTATATTGTTTTATATCATAAATTTGATGCTCAAATGAAGATTTATCAATATTGTAAGTTTCAAAAAGCATTATTTGTAAAGATATTACCAAATTTAACAGTTCATGTAATTAAAAGGAAGGCAATAAGAACATTATTTTATAAATAGAAAGCATAAACTTTAACGTTTTATTATAATGTATATAAACATCTGCTGTTTAACATATTCATGGGTGTTTGGAAATTGTTATAGAAGAATAATTATAACATAATTATATAACATTTTTCATATCTGTATGTTCCATCTTTAATTATAACATACAGGATCTTTAAACTTATACACTTATGCATACAGACAGAACAAGAAATGCAGTAGAACAGTCATGAACTACTCGTAGATTCCTTACATTTCATCGACAATTTTCCAAATATTTATTTGCTTATCAAACAATTTTGATACTGTAAAAAACATAAATTTGAGGTTGTACGTAATGCATAGGGTAAGTAACATACAAAATATTCTAAGAACAAACATTAGACATAATTTTATTGCGGTTTGCTCAGAATTTACATAATGTTATCATTCGTTTTAAGTCGAAACGTTTTCGTCATGGAAACAGCCACCAGTTAACAGCGGTATAGGGTCTGGTACTGCTTCATTGAAAGTAAAAGAAAATTCAGAAAAGGGAACCATTACAAATATCAAATTACGAGTCCTTGGTGGCAACGGAAACATCACCTATAAAATAAAGAGTGAACAGAAAACCTTTTCGATTGGAGGGCCAAACGGTAATGCGCTTATTGTAGAGGAACCAATAGATTTTGAAGTCGTTTCCAGCATTTCTATTTTAGTCGAGTAAGTCACCTAATGTTATTAATTATGTGAATAAGAAAAGTACTGTATTAAATGTAAGCATAATTACATAATTTCAGTAATGTATCTAAAGAAACTTCAGTATTATAAAATACGAATTTTAACAAAATGAATGTAGATATTATTTTTAATTGTAAGGTAAATAATGAAAACTCATATACAGATATTCAGTAATATGTACACCGGTACACCGGTATTTTTTTCTTGCCATATTAAACGCGCTCAGCGATTTTTAAACTAATTGAGATTATTTTCAAGTGCTGAGCATACTGGCATACTTCGAGTCGTGCACAATTTAATCCCATTTACTATTTTTTCATAGAGCTAAAGACAATAGTAGTACGGCAAAAACAGGAAGAGTGAATATGACAATTTTGATTGAAGATATCAACGATAATGCACCCGTCTTCGAAAAATCTAATTACAAAGAGGTCGTTTCCGACTCCAGCCCAATAGGTGAGTTAAATGCCTTTATTGACAGTATTTTGCACATTGTTACATAGACAAAACATTGAGCTAAGAGCTAAGGATCGGTTACTTAGAAAACTAAATACATCAAATAATCTACTTATCTATATATGTATAATTATATTGAAGTTATATCCATGTGTGTGCATATTATAATAGTTGTATCAGTATAAATGGTAAAAGGTAAAGGTCTTGTTTATTATAGTGTCATCCCTACTGAAAGAACCAGCCATTTCTGACTAATGAGACACCTTTTGCTTATGTGTGTATTCTTTTTTTTTTTTGCTTTACATTTTACAGGATTCATACTTGTTACTGTGAAAGCAACAGACAGCGATGGCACAGCCCCCAACAATGAAGTTATTTATACATTTGCTGGTATTTTACCGCTTTCATATCATTTTACAACAATAGTGAAACCAAAATGAAAAGTCATAAAACCTATATACAATTCTTGTCACTTTGACGAACCTTTGACAAACCAGTGAAACTGTCATCAGGAAAACATGAACATGCCTCAATGTTACTTAAATATGCCTCAATGAAACTTAAATATGCCTCAAGGAATCTTAAAAATGCCTCAAGTCTCGTACAAAGCAACCCCCACCCCCGACATAAATAGGACAATACTGTAGCTATTTTGGTGAACGATGAAGATTATTCTATGTAAAAAAAAAGCAACAAAACACCCAATTTACTTACGAGGCATACCCGACTATATTTTGAACCTAATTGCTTCAATACGCATTCAGTTTCATGATTGCGTAATATTGTGTCATGCAAACAGAAACAGTATGAATATTTCAGTAACTACATTCCTCGTAACACTAATACCTTTCTTTAACTCTTTAACTTGTTGAATGCTGACTTCAAGTAGAATTGGTCTGATTCTAAAGTCGTGAAAAAATACCTTAATGGTTATTTTGATTACAAGTCAAATATTATTGGACATAATGACTATTATAATGACTATTGACAGATTTCTGCTACTTTTGTAGATGACAACACTCATGACGAATTCACCATTGATTCATCAACTGGAGTTCTTTCATTGGCCAAACACTTGAAAGAAACATCAACATCATCATATGAACTCATGGTCATTGCTACTGATGGTGGAGTTAACCCCGGTCCATTGACAGGTTCAACAATGGTTTCAATCTCTGTAGATAAAGACCCTACCACCATGACAAGTGCTGGAACCTCAACAACTACCCAGTTAAACACACCAATGCCAGGCGGAACAGGCATGCTGGCACCATGCTTGTTTACCATTCTTTTACATGTTTCTCTATTGATTGTTTATTAGCGGGATGGGATTTCATATTTTCAACTTACCTTATATAGATTGTTGTCTTCCACTGTAAGAAATACTGAACAAAATACAGTGAAAGGTGTTAATCAATGATGGCTCAATTCTGTAAACATTCTAAAAAGGTATCAATAGATAATGTGGTGATTTAGGGAATGTCAATTAGGAAATTAATTTGCTAAAATGCGGTGTCATGCATATGATGGGTTCTTTTTCATTCATCTTAGTAAACATAATAATTTTTGACTGGCTACTTATGGTATTCGCGAGTTTATTTATGTTTTACTATCTTTGCTATTCCTTCAATAGTATTTTGTATTCTAGATTGGAATCCCAATCATTTTATTGTTCTGTTTTGTTTGTTTGTTTATGTATGGAGTTTGTAGAAGTTATTTTTTGAATACAAGTTAAGGGGATTGAATGCACTTAAAATGTTCATGGTACAGAAACTACACATGTAAGCAGATATTCATATTTTATGAATAATTTAAAATGGTACAAGAATAAACCATCTCTTTCGGTTTCAGCACTTTGTTATCATATTCAAAACCTGTGAGTTTGTGAAAAGAAGATTCTTTGTGTGTTTTAAAATAATACTGAAACCCTTTCCCCAAAATTATTAACATCACCTTAATAGAAATCTTAAATACAAAGGAAAATCATCCAACAGCAAAGGACCATCTGCAGAATTGAATAAAAATGAAATGAAAAAAAAGCATAAATAACTCTCCATGGGCTAGGAAAGGTCTTAAAGGATCATTTGCAATTAACAAAAAACACCGGAAGTCCACTTCATCACATATTCAAGTTTTAAGTTTGCAAAACCTGTTCAAACGTTGTTTAAATGAATGTTTTCAAACTTGAAATTCATACGGCGCCTTAACGATTGATTTATAAGGCTTTGTTCATCATCACGTTAAATGAAGTAATACTTATTATGATCCTATTACAATTAAAACCAATCACGTTTTTTCCATTTAAATCAAAGCACAACGGCACATGTGCATTTGCTGATAATATGTTACTATTATTGTTGATATACTGAAAATAAATACATTTAGTCGTGTTTGCACGTCTGACTTTTGTAAATGGACAGTTAATTTGTTGTTGACTCATGGACAACGTTTTTCCCATTATATTTTTAATATTGTTTTCATTTTTTGTCTATTTATCTTCCTTTCTCACAAGTCGAAAAATTATTTAGATCTGATAAAGACATTGCATTTGTCATGCTAGCTCCTCTTTAGGATCCTTTACAAATTACTTTTTACGTAATACTTATTCATCACCTTCTTGTTATAATATGGAAGGAATTACATGCAAGTATAATGAACTGTAAATACATTAAATACATAAGTTATATTATGTTGTTCATAAAATCAATTGTAAAAAGTTTTTACAGGAGAAAATTTCATAATAATTATAAGCTTTAAGCTCTCTACTCAATCCTGAATGCAATTTATGTGTTAAAAATTGGTTTGTAATTATTGAAGAAAAAAATAAATACAAATGTATTGTTTAACCCAACTCTTTTTCAGATTTCTTTTTTTCACAATATATTTAAAGTGGAATAATTTGTTTTTAAGATTCTACAAATATTATCAAGAAAGTATTTTCCAATATTGCACAACGTTTTTTATGCCAAACTTACTTTTGATATAACAATAAACAATAAAAACAGATGCATTGGACAACTTAATATGCGTAAAACCGTGGCTACAGCGGCAAAATTTTCAAAGTTTATGCACTTTTAACATTACTAGTATGCTACAGAAAAACAAAGTAGGAATATTTTGTTATGCCCCGCTATACAATTTGCAGGTCAAGTTTCAATTTGGTCATGGTTCGGTGATTATTTTTGGTGTCATGTCCCTTTCACTTTAAAATAATATGTAATTTTCCGTTGCCGTTCATTATCTCCCCAACAGTATTACACATTCAACTCAATTTTGACATGGATACGTCAAAGGAATGAGCAGGTCGCCTTTGAATTTGGTCTTGGTTTGATGATTATTTGCAGATTTATGCCCCTTTCACTTTGAAAATAAAATTAAATTTTCAGTTTCCTTTCAATATCTCCTTAATGTGATTACATATTCAACTCAATTTTGACATACAGATACGACAAAAGGAATGCACCCAATCTGAATTTGGTCATAATTCGATGATTATTTGCAGAGATAAGCCCCTTTCACTTAAAAAATAATATGTAATTTTCCATTTTGTTCATAATCTCCCAACAGTATTAAACATTAAACTCAAATTTGACATATGGATACGTCAAAGGAATAAGCAGGTCAACTTCTTAAGTCATAGTTTAAAGATGTTTGGCAGAGCAATGCTCCTTTAACTTTGAAGAAAACGAAAGATCTCAGTTACCGTCCATTATCTTTCCCCATCAGTTGTACATATTCAACTTAGATTTGAAATATGGATATATCATAAGAATACACAGGTCAAGTTCGAATTTGGTCATGGTTTGATGATAGCTGATAGAGTTATCCCTCTTGAACTTCGAAAAAAATCAGAAACTTTTAGTTTCCGTTAATTATCTCCCAAATGGTTGTTCACATTCAACTCAACATATAGATACATCTTAGGAATAAGCAGTTCAATTTGTATTTGGTCGTGGATCAATGATTTTGGACAATGTTATCTCTCTTGAATGTTGGAAAACTTCGAAATTTTCAGTTTCATCACTCATACTTTTGTGGAAATGTATGTAGTCATCATTTTGGTAACATATATGCAATTTACAAAATTAACACTGAATAGTTTCAGTGCCTTGAACCTTTTATAAAATGGTTCGTGTTAACTTTTGATAGTTTTAAGGGCGTTGAACTTTAAATGAAACGGGTTGAAGCATGCCTGAATTACAACATACTATGGATGAATAATAACTTTCCAAAATGTGGGCAAAACAGAGGTGATCGTCTTTGTACCAAAACGAAGTGATGTTGAAGATCTTATTGTAAGAGTCGGTGATTCTGTAATAAAACCGTCAACAACAGTTAGAAACCTTGGCGACGTACTGGACTCTCATGTAGACATAGAACAACATGCGAACTCAGTTTCTCGTTCATGCTTCATGGAATACATTGTACGTCAAATGGTTCAAATTCGGAAATTACCATACTGTTGATTTAATCAGGACCTTGATAAACTCGTTAGTGACATCAAAATTAGATTACTGTAATTCGTTGCTATATGGATCTCCAAAGTACGTTCTCAACAAGCTCCAAAATTTTAAAAATACGGCAGCTTGTGTTATTACCAGGACACCGCGAAACTGCCACATAGCCCCAGTTTTAAAGGAACTACATTGGCTTCCTGTGCACATCAGAGTCGAGTACAAACTCCTAACATATGTGTTTAAGGCACTTCATGGACAGGCACGTACGTACATACGAAACATGGTAGACATTTATATCTCATCCAGACAACTTAGAACCCAGAATGATTGCTTAGCGCTTGTTTTACTGCGTAGTAGGACTGTTACTTATGGTGATCGTGCTTTAATTCCTCTATGCAAATTTAAATCAAAGGCCAGAAGAACCTCCAAAACTATTCGTTATTTAGAACAAAAATATCATTATCCTTCGCGAATGTTTTTTTTTCTTAAATAAAGTTACAGACCCTCCTCGAATTTTACAAAAGTCACGAAAGGACACTCAGTATAGTTCAAAATTATATTAAAAACAAAACAACAACAAAAAAAATAGTCATCAAAACACCCTCCGCGAATATTTAAAAGAAATAATGGGATGGGATTTTATTATGTCAGCTAGTATGTAAGCACTTAAACATGAAAAGCACCAGCCGTATAGCAGTTACAAATAAAAGTTGAATAAAGTATTTCCAGTTCACTTGTTTACTATTCTTTTCATTATTCATAAGCGGAATGGGTTTTCATTTACAATTGATCTCATATAGATTGTTGTTTTCAACTATAAGAAATATTTTACAAAATACTGTGAAAGGTGCTAATTAAAGGAAACATTCTCAAAAGGTATCAGTAGATGATGTGATAAATTTGGGAACGTCAACAAGGAACTTAATTAGCTAAACGCAGTTTCATGATGACTATTTGTACAGGAATCCTGGAAGATTATTTACATTATAATAAATCAAGATTGGCTATTGATCGTTATTTATGTTTTTATTTATTTCTTTGCTACTCCTTCAATAGTATTTTTATTTAAGATAAGAATCCTATTATTCTATTGATCTGTTGTTGTTTTTTAAATATATTTTTACAAAGATTGTACACTTTTTTTTCGGAATACCAGTTAAGTGGATTGAATGAAAAATAAAATGTTTGTGGTCCAGAAACTTTACATGTTTAATGTGCAGCAAATGCAGATAATTGTTTTTTCCACAAATTTAAAATTGTACAACAATAAACCATTTCTTGCGATTCAAGCACTTTGAAAGTCAAAACCTCTGCGATTTTGTGCTAAGAAGATCCTCCGTGAATTTCAAATAATACATCATGAGAACCCCTCAAATATTTTAACCGAGAATATAAACATCAGCTTAATAGAAAACCCAAATATATAGTAAAACCATCTTAGAGCAAAGGGACCATCTGCAAAATTGAAAAAAAAAATCAAATATAGAGGTGTGTTTTTGCAAAAACTTGTTCAAACAGTTGTTTAAATGAATGTGTTTAAACTTGGAATTTATACGTCGCCTTAAACTTTTGAATTATAAGGTTTCGATTTCCATCATGTTTACTGATTATGATCCTACTACATTTAAAAGCAAGCTCTTTTTTTAATTCAAATGGCATGTAAATATGTTGATAATATGTAAATATCATTGATATATTGAAAGTGAAATAGTCATGCTTTCACCACTGCAGACTTTTGTAAGTGGCTAGTTGTGTTGTTGATAACACATGGACAACATCCCCCCGCCATTAAGTCACAGTGACCTATAACTCCATTTTCTGAGTCTCCATTCTGATCTCCTGTTTTTTTTCACTTTCATTTTTGTCTATTGATCTCCCGTTCTCCCATGTCGAGAAATCATTTAAATTTGATATAGACATTCAAGCTTACACATTTGATATGCTCAGCTCCTCTTAAGGATCTTTTACGAATAACTTACTACGTAGTAGTTATTTATAATCTGCTTGTAAATATATGACAGTTATTGAATGCAAATAAAATGAACTGAAATTACAAAGCTATTTTATGTTGTTTCTAACATAAATTGTTGATATGTTTCTACAGGAGAAAGTTTCATTTGTTCTTTAAGCTTTCTAATCAATTCTGAATGCAATTTATGTATTGAAATTTTGTTTGTAAATATTGAAGAAGAAATAAATATTGTTTAAACCAAAATTTAAACTAATACAAAACATTTAAGCAGTAAATCAATATATAGGGATATACATTTAAAAACGAACAAAAATTCTTTAAAGATTGTATAATGATTATAAAGTATTTCAGTAGCATCATACCAATATTGTAAATTAATGTCAAACCTTTTTATAAAATAACATATGGAAAGGCCTGCATTA